GCCATTTTGTTGAGGAGTATCAGGACAAGTGGTTTGATGGATAAGACCTTTTTCCTTACAGAAATTTTCCATGGGATGATTTATGTATTCTCCTCCATTATCAGATCGAAGAATACAGATCTGTTTTTGGTATTGTGTGTTGATCAATTTGTAAAATGAGGTGAACTTTTCAAAAACTTCAGATTTGTGTTTAAGAAAGTACACCCAAGTCATACGGGTAGAGTCATCAACAAACAATAAAAAATATTGATACCCATTTGGACTTGGTTCTGGAGATGGACCCCACACATCAGAATGGATTAATGAGAATGGTTGTGATGCAACTGTGTTATTTAACAGATAGGAATGTTTATGACTTTTGGCTAGAATACAACTGTTGCAGTGAAACTGACATGATTTATTGAATAATTTTGGAAATAGAATTTTGAGATACCCCCAAGATGGATGCCCCAAAAGACGGTGCCACAGCCATGCCTGCCTGTCCACTGTCCCATGAGCAAGCATAGCCGTTCCGTAGTAATCAACTTCATCAACATAGTACAGTCCATTACGTTCAGAACCACACCCAATGATCTTCCCTGTCCGAATATCCTGTAATAAGCAAAAAGTGGGTTGCATTAGGACCATGCAATTTAACTGTTTGGTGACATGGCTTATTGACAGCAATTTATGAGACAATGTGGGAACATAGAGGCAATTATCGAGTCAGATAGATGTTGATATAGATATTGGACCGGTGCCCTCGACACGAGAATAATCCCCATTGGCCTTTTGAATATGGGTTTTCTTAGACCAATTTAAGGAAATAAAATCGGAACGGTCAAAGGACATTGTATCAATTTCCCCACAATCAAAAATCCATTGGGTATTTTTAATTGGGTTTGTATTGGGCCTGTTTGTTGGGCTGGGAAGAGGTTTTAATATTAAAAACCTCTTCCCTTCTTCCGTAACCCTACCCGCCGTCACTTTCTCTCTTGCGCCTCTCTCTTTTGCGCAGTTTTCCTCTCTCCTTCCTTCTTTCGTTTCTTTCTTGGCAACTCCGGCGAAGTTGCTGGTGGTTTCCTTCCATCTAAATTGAGATGGTTTCTGGTCGGTGGTGGTGTTGGTGGTCTCCAGATTGCCCACCACTGCCCCAGCGACTCCAGGCGGCAACGGTGGCTTTTTTCCTCTCTTCCGGCTGTCCGGCCACCACTCAGGGTAGCCAGTTTTCTTGAAGCATCCTTCGGCCGTATGCTTAATCCCACCACAGAAGCTACACTTGAGCTGCGATTTGTCCTCATAGATGCGAGATGATGATTGGCGAAAATCTAATCCCACCGCCGCGCGTGTAGCCGCTAGGCCACCGCCAATTCCTGAGGGAGATTCTCCCGATGATGGCCCTTCTCTTTTCATTATTCCTTTTCTTGCTGCCTCCCTTCGAATTTGGGCGTACGCCTCTTCAATTGATGGAAAAGGCTCTGTTTTGAGTATATCTCTTTTTTCAGCATCAAATTCATTGTTTATTGCCTGTAAAATTGATATAGACGATTTTGTTATTGAATTTGTGTGAAAATCGTCATATCCTCTGGGAATTTCATCGGGTTGGGTCGACGTCTGTCGATTTCCTTCCAAACAGCTTGTAGTTGGCTGTAAATTTTCTCCAACGGTTGTTCACCTTGTTTGATTTCGCTGGCCTTAACCATCAGGTCGTAGATTTGGAGGGGATCTTTTCCGGAGCTGTACGTGGCTTCGATCCCCTTCCACAAATCCCAGGCAGCAGGGTAATCGATATATTGATTAACAATATCCGATTCTATGTTTTCAAATATCCACGTTATTATCGGTGAATCTGCTTGTCTCCATTTAATATATTTGGCATCATCATATTTGAGAGGTGCGGCGATGATGTGATTGAGCCGTCCTCTCCCATCCAGAGCCAGACTCATTTTACGCACCCAAATGGCGTAGTTCCTATCGTTGAGTTTTTCTGCCAAATTTAACGGCTGATTGGAAGAGCTCTCTATAGGTTCGGCCTTGGGTGCTAAATTCTGAAAATTTTGGAGAATTTCTAGAATTTGTTTAAGGTTGACTGGCTGCTTCATTGGATCGGATTCCCCTGTGTAGGTGGAACTCTCTGGGGTTGGATCGGACATTTTTTTTATGGTAGATGATGAACGCTGCGTATCATTCAATTGTTTTGATCGAATGATGGCTTTTGATCGAATGATGGCTCTGATACCATATTAGAAATATAGAATCAATTCACAGCTGAAAAATGTTCATCTTATTGAATACATCTCTAATAATGTCTATATATATTACAAAGTTAATAATAAAAACAATTAAGGAAAGTGAGTGGAAGTTAATCAAATATCTTGATTGGTAATTTGATTCCAATCAAGGATATTATCAAGATATTACACTATTCCCTTTTTGTTTGATATTTCTAACATAAAGATCGGGTAAAGGTCTTTTAGGAACAACATTTTCATTTAACATTAGATAAATTTTAACGGTATAAATTATTTTAAAAAACGTTAGTTCTAAACGATGCAATTAGGACATTAGGAATCTTTTTCAAAACGTTGACTTTAATTTCTAACATTGTTCCCAAATGAAGTCAAAGTAAAAAAGATATTGGACACAATTGTAATAGCATCCGTAGTAAAGTACAATTTGGAAGACACAATTCTTGATCACCCACAAACAAAACTCTCCCTGATCTTTAGAGCTTGAGAATCTAAAAAATTGCAAAACCAATGATAGAACTCCTTCCACATATAAGTATCGAATGCAAATTGTGTTGAATCTTTAATACTACGTAAACTAGTATTCTAACCATGCTACGTACGCGATTGAAGAAATTTTTTATTGATTTTGTGAATTATCTTCAATGTACAATATTTTTAAATGAGTTTATGAAAATATATATAATACGTCTTTAACATTATACGGAGTATACAATAAAATCAAATTAAGACATACCGGAGTATTTTTTAGCATTTATTATTTGGTAATGAAAATAACAATATATAAGTTTAGAACTAAACACCTTAAAGTTTTTTTAATCCATATTTTTAGAAAATCTTCAGGGGGATAAAACATATTTAGTGTGGTTGCAAGAATTTTCATTATTATTTAGAACTAATATTTTTAACCATATCTTGGTTTTTAGTCGTGAAATAATAACATAAAATTGACCATGAATAATTTACAACCTGGTTAAAATTAATCCAATCAATGACAATGTTTGACATTGATTTTTATTTATAGTTATAGCAAAATATAAAACATTCATTGTCGTATATGTTCATTTGGTTGGCCTTCATTATGACAATTTTTTTTGTCATAATTGAACTCTTCCAAAAAATTATTTTGGTATGTATTAAAAGTAGATTGTCATCTCAAAATGGCATACCGCCAAACTCTTATAAGGATTATCTATTTGAATTAACTAACTTTTCAATATTAATTAAATACAAACTCTTTAGATCTTTTGGTGAAAAAATAAATTCTACAAAAACTTGTTAAATGCGATTAAATTCTAAAATTCTATATTATAGAATTTTGTATATGTATCATGCATTTCGTATTGATCTTTATATAAATAATAAAAACTACCTTTTATAGAAATACCTTTATTGTGCAATATTCTTCTTCAGTCAAATAAAATCCATCAACCAAAAGCTTCCATGTTTTTTCTTCAAACAACTTGAGGATGACTCATGGTATTTGTCACTAATAATGTAGTTACTAACTTTCTTAGTTATTCCGAGATCATAGTTTAGTAGTCTCTTTTAATTTATACCTTCAATCAATTCTTTATCATTGGTTTATAACTACAATGTTTTATGCTTCGCATGCATTCTTGAATGAGTTTTGTACAACATTATTGGTTACTGTCTTCAAGCTCTGATAGCTTGTACATCCTCATTGGACAGTTAAAACTATTTTCAAGTAATATAATTCTCCTGTTCTTATTGGCACATATTGCAGGTGACCTATATATTGGTGGTCGTTGTGTCCTCGAAAACAATGAAGAAATTATAGTCACCAATATATTTTGTTGATTTAGTATCCCAATTAATGCACATGTTTTTAGAAATTTTAAAATAACTAAATCAAACTAATATACAAAATTAGTTCGTGATGGGTCTTAATCATATATTTGAGCTATATTTTAGCTTAATAAATTTTCATACAGAAGAATAGATTAATAATTTTTTTTTAAAAAGTTTACTTTACTCAAAAGACGTCTAATATCATAGTTGTTTTTATGAAAAGAGGACTGAGTTAATCATGATTACTTTCTTTTTTATGAATAATTCATTTAATTTTTAAAAAACTTATGTTTTTATTTCGTTTACATAATTTTCAATAAGTTTAAAAAACCATGATTTTCTAATACAAAATACATTGTTTTAAACTCATCAAATTTTAAAAGTTATCATAAATATTTTTTCATAAATGTTAAATGAGAATTTAAAGCATGACATGTAGGATGATACATGTCAACATTTTAGAAAGATGAGTCTCAAATATTATTGTAAAGGATATAAGATAAGATAGTATGATTGATTCAAGAAATTAGGAAGGAAAAGAAAAGAATTTGTTTTCTCTAATTTTCCTCATCAAAATGTGAAGAATTTAGTTTTTTTCTTCTTGATTCACTTGCCTTCTTACATTTTTTTTCTTCACACACACATGTATACTAGTTTTTTAACCCGTGCCATGCACGGGGCAGAATGAAATTATTGTTCATTATAAAATTTTTCTTCAAAATTTTAAGATTAGGTTCTTTTGGATCCGACTCTCCAATTATTTGGATGTATTTGGTTGAAAGAAATATACTTTTCTAGAAAATTATAATTCTATTTTTCTAATGTTAGGTTACATAAATGGTAGAAAATCATTTCTTTAGAATAATATTTTCTCAAAGAGATGAAAATGACTTTTGTTTGTTTTTAATCAAAGTTTATTTTTTACAATTTTACTCAATCTTTAAGTACTCTAATTCCACGTTCGAGTTCATCCCTTCTCCCACACCCCCATCATCTCCCCTCGCCCCGCCACCCCCTCCTCTCGCCGCCCCTAGAGAATGAAGCACAATAAAAAAATTATTTCAAAATATGAAAAATGAATTATGCCCCCCTAAAATATTTTAAAATTATTTCAAAATATCTTTGTGTTGGGTTAAGGAACCCGGGGCCTAGGAAACTAGGCGGAAAAGTATCGAACTAAGTTGAGAGTGCACAAAATATGGGGTCAAGTAAACTAATAGTAATATTGTGCAAGTTATAATATAATTCAGAGCGTAAGTCCCCCCTTCCTTTAGAAGGGAAGGGGTTTATATGCAGATTACAACTAGGGTTCCGACCGTTGGTCCATAGTCCAATGGTCTGGGCCCACTGAGATTGGGTTGTTCATTGGCGGCGTCCAACCACATCATTAATTAACCCTAGGACTGCTATACAAATGTAGGTTACAAGTAGGGTGGCTATAGCAACTCTGCCAGAGGCATGACAGGGGTCTAATCATGGGCCCCTTGATCGTGACTTTAGTCAACTTCCTTGTCCAGGCCTGGTCTACCGCTGCCCAGGGCCGAGGCCGAGCGTACAACTTGTCTTCGGAAGTCTGTTGGCGGAAGGCCGGGCAGGGGTGGACCGAGGATGACCTACCTTGCCGGGGCTGAGCGTGTGCCACTGCCGAGGTGGTACCCCCATTTCCGAGTATCCATCATGAGTCCCCTACTTCCTCGGCCGAGCGTAGCAAAGCCGATGGAAGTAATCTAAAAAGTTGGGAATTTGAATTTTGAATTTTGAAAATCTTGGTCATGTGTAGGAGTCCCCCACTGCTCGACTTGAGTGTTAATGAGAGTTGGGAAGTGTTCCAACTAGCAAGATTTACACGTGTCACCTCAATATTGAAAAGGCATGATTGCGCTGTTTGGGAGACGTAACGTCTCTGTACTGTTCCTCTGTCAGCCGTTCGTGACGATTTGCGATCGTATGCGTGAGGAAACGCCACGTCCCTCCTTAATTGTGACTTTTCATTGAGTCGGGTCGGATCCCTTTGTCATATAAAAGCGAGAATTTCCCCAACCCTCTCCACATTTGTCATTTCAGCGCCGCACTTTCGCCGTTGATTTCGCTCATCGTCTCTGCTCACTCGTCGTCGTCCGCCTTGAAGGTTAGTCCATCCTTCCCCGTTTTCATGGCGTCTTCCGATTCTACTCCCTCCATCCCCGCTGTTGACCCAGCGGTGGTTTGTTTTGAGGAAATGTACCGACAAGATTCCTCCCTCCGCCCCGACGGTCCGATGGGAGGAATTGACCATTCTAGGGTTCTGAGTGCGGTGCCTCTCCGTACGTCCGTCACTGTGGTGTCGTCATCCCAGGCTCCGCCTCCGAAGAAGAAGAAGAAATCGAAAGTTGTTCAGGGGAGGACCCGGAAGTCCTTGCCCGTTACCGCGCTAAAAACGGGTCCCATCACGAGTACGAGTTGTCTTTTCTTAGATGTTGATTTTGACGAGGCTCTTCGCTTCGTGGGGGAGGGTTATTCCGTTCGCCGACCACACAACCAATCACGTCTTCTCCGTGACCAGTCCCGACGCCGAGGTCGGGGTGCATGTGGCATCCATGTGTTACGGTCTTCGTTTCCCCCCTCACGATCTGATAGTTCAAGTTTTGAATTTCTATCGTCTTCTGCCGAGCCAGCTCAGTTCCCACTCCTATTATTGTTTCTCAATTTTCTTGAATATTAGTGATATGACAAATAGACTAATATTATAATTTCTGAGCACGAAACAATGACAAAATGACAAATGTTATGTATAAGTGTTGTATATGTGTTAACTGTTACAATCAAGCTTTAATCAGCTTATTGACGTTACGTTAGTCAAAACAACTCAATTAAGAATCACTAATCAGAGTTCAAGTTCTGAAACTATAATTACGTATTCATCTAAGAAACTTAGAATGATGACTATGGTAATAGTCATTTCCCAAAATACCATTATGTTAAAATAAAAAAAACGTCAAACCTAGAAACAATTCGTTCAAGCTTGTACACTACGAAACGTAATTCATGAAACCAACATTTCGGACAAAGTCATCTGAGAATGATTAAAAAAATCTAAGAGTAAATTCGACGAAAGTCCCCATGAAAGAAATTCAAACACGTTACATCTAGGGGTGTGCACCGGTCCAAAACCGGACTGGACTGGACCGGAACCGGTTAGGACCGGAACCGGAATTGTAATTTATTTAGGACCGAAGACCGGACCTGTTTATTTCCGGTCCGGACCGGTCCGGACCTGTTTTTTCCAGTCCGGTCCGGTTTTACCCTACTTTAGACCGGAATTTTTTGTATATATTTTTTTGCAATCTTATAAATGAACTAAATTATTAAATAAATTTAGAAAAAATTGAAATAATAAATTGTTTTTGTTAAAAGTATTTAATAAAAATAGTACTTATAAGTAGTAGCAACAAATTCATCAAAACTCATTTTATAACTTATTCAAATTTATAAACTACCGTAAAAATAATAATCTAAAATAAAATTTCTAAAAACTACATATTGGAAAATTGAAATTCATGAATCTAAAACTATATGGACCGGATCTAATGCTTTTGGGCTTGAAATTAATAATGGATACAATTTATATAATATATTCCGGTCTGGACCGGAAAATTCCGGGTCAAACCCGGACCGGACCGGAAACCCGGAATCCCTAATTTGTGAAACCCGAGGACCGAACCTGAATCTTCCGGACCGGTCCAGACCGGTCCATTCCGGTTCGGTTCAGGTCCAAAATCCGGTCCAGACCTGTTTTTGAACACCCCTAGTTACATCTATTATATATCTGCGTATATCTTTTCTCGTAAGAGAACATGTCATAATCTTGACACTTAACAAAAGAAAGAGAAAACAAGTTTTCAAAATTTGTGTTTTAAAAACAATGAATATTCATTATTTTGTACATCATAATTTTAAATGACTTCACCTAAGGAAATTTCGTGGACGAAATTTCTTTAAGAGGGGAAAAAATGTAACGCCACAAAATATGGCCTAAAATTTATTATAAAACAAAAGTAATTTTTGTCCAATAAGAAATATTTATACATTTGACCAAAAATAAATGGATTTTCAAAATAATGACTTTTTGTTAAAAAGTTGTTTTTATGGATATGTCTCGAAAAGACAAATCCAACGGTACATTTTATGAATCAATCTGATTAATAGATTTCAGGTTATGTCAATTTTAAATATTAAAATTTGTAACTTTGACCCATAAAATAAACTCAATTCAAAAGTGATTTCATAAGATTATAAATCATAATTTTGACCCTTGACAACACCATATTTATCATTTGGATTTAATTCATGTATTTTTATCTCATTCATATTATTAAATTGATTTATGATTGAGACAGAGCTGAACACTGAGAAAAATAAAAGTTCTCAGAAAAATATTTTGACTACATCAAAATTCTAGTTTTTATAGTCTCATTCCAAAAACGCAATCCATTTTCAATTCGGAACAGTTTGGGCAAAAAAACGCGTAGCGTTTGGAGTAAACTGTTTAGTTTTGGCAAGAAGCCAAAACTTTATTTTCCCAAATCCCTCCCAACATCACGTAACCAACCTAGGAGATATCCACAATCTCATTATAATCCTCCACTAACTCCATTAATATAATACTCCAAACTAATTATATAAAACTCCCAAAACCACTCCATATCATTACCATCATGTTCCACCACCATCATCCACCATTTCCTCTCCTATTTCCTCTCTCTGTCGGCAGTCCAAGGAGGAAAAACCAGCTGTAACTCCATTGTTGAGCCAAGAAAGAAGAAGGAGAAACAAGAAGAAGTATCAAGGTTTCCAAATCATGAGTTCCAAATGCAGCATCAACTTCTACGTAAGTTATGTAATTTTCCATCTATTATCTCAAAATACTTCTTGAACAAAATTTGTAGCCCCGGACGATACAAATCCAGCCCAACAAATGGCTCGCGATTTCGTTAAGCAACAAAGAAGATATGACCAAAAAACCAGGACTGCGCTAGTGGTGGCGAGCTCCTCGGGTTGGACTACTTTCTTCACCAAATTCATATTCTTTCATTCCAAGAACTCACCATAAACTCAAATACGATTGCCATGACGGAGGAAGAGGTCCAACCAATACAGCCACGACGTTCGGGTCGTATGGTTAAGCCGCCCGTGCGATTCAAAGACTTTGTTTAATATTATTGTTGTATTTATATTTATTATTTTGGTTTTCTTTTTGAGTGGTTTTATAACACTTCTTCGAGGGTTTCTTTACGGTTCTTTACCTCGTCGCTTTTTCTTGAACCGTCAGGATAGATAATGTACTTGGTTAGGTTTTGTTGCTATAAATTGAGGGTCTGCTCCTAAGGTTGGGTACGTAAGAATAATATCCAACTTCCTCTATCTTAATTCTACTCTCCCACCTTGGCTTTTCCTCTCCTTTTCCTACGGTTTTCTCTCTTTCCCTAACTGCCTGCGTTTCTCCTTCCCCTTGGTACGTGCATCACTGGTGCTTTCATCTACTTGGACTCAATATGGCGGAAGAAATTCTTATGTCGTCCTCCGGTAACACTCCACCGTCTGGCGATGACCTGCTCCTCGCTATTCAAAACCTCGCCTTGGAAATCCGGACCAATCGCCAGGACCACCTTGCGTTGGTTCAACGTGTGGATCAAGCTTTGCTGCGTTACTGGAGGGTCGTTCGCCCTCGATGCCACATAATAAGGGACTTTTGGGGAACAACCCGCCCGGGTTTCGTTGCCCCCCGCTAGTTCCCTGGGTTCCCTGGTCACGATGATACACATGAGGCATGTATGCCTAAAGTTCGTTTGGATGCCCCTAAATTCAATGGTCAGGATCGGGCGGGATGGGCTTACAAAGTGCAATCTTATTTTGACTACTTTCGCACACCAGAAGATGTTCGCCTACACCTCGTTGGATTGCTTTTTGAAAGCCCGGCTTCCGATTGGTTCCTTTATCAACATAACAACAACTGTATCACGAGCTGGTGAGGCTTTTTGGAGGCCGTAAAGCAACGTTTTGATCCAACACATTATGAGGATTACATGGGTTTGTTATGCAAGCTACAGCAACGTACCACGGTTTTGGATTATCAAACCGAGTTTAAACGCCTTTTGAACAAAATTACAGGAGTGGCGGACGCCACATTGATTTCAGTTTTCACCGCGGGTCTCAAGCCGACTATTCGCAGGGGGGTACTTCTTCGGCGGCCAATCACGTTGGGAAAGGCGTTCATCCTCGCTAGGGAACTTGCAGCGAATCACGCCGATACATTCACCACGGTTGCGGAAACTGTTCGCCACCCTTGGTCAGCCACTCCATCATTGGCTGGTTCATCTTCTTCTACTCGATCTTCAGGGAATGGGGCTTGGCTCCCTCGGCAGCAACAACAGGGGCGTTGAAAACCGGAGTGACATCGTTTTTGCTTATTCGTCGTTTGTCTCATGTCGATCGTGAGGAGCGCACAGCGAAACGGTTGTGTTGGAACTGTTAGTCAGTTTAGTTGTTGTGCCCACGCCTTAGAGGGGGGTGGGTGAATAAGGTGTTTAAAAATCTTTTCAGAGTTTGATAAAAATGGTGTTGGCAAATGCGGAAACAATAAGTAAAACGCAAACATAAAAGCGTAAAGTAAATGCAAACCGATTTTATACTGGTTCGGGAACTCCCTACTCCAGTACCTCAAGGCTCCTCCTCAAGGATTTCCGAATCCACTAAGTTCCGGCCTCTTGAACTCCGTCAAAGCACCGCACTAGTTTGGCAAACAACCCTTGCCAATAGGATTCACTCTGAGATTTTACCACGGCTATCTCGAACCGTTTACAATGAAGATTTAACGGCTATCTTCTACCGTTCCCCCAAGAATTTCAAAGGCTATCCTTGAACCTCTATCCAAGGATTTATACGGCTATCCTTAACCGTTACAACGTGAGAATTTAACGGCTATTCTTGACCGTAAGAAGGTGTGTTTGAAGAATACAAACAAAGGTTCTACACAACGGCTAGAATATAAAAATGAAGAACAAAACTTAGCTGGTGTAGAGGGAAAGTATACTCTCTCAAAAATACAATTCAAACTTATGAATATGAGAGCATATAACTAGAAACACAAGCTCAAAGTGTGTGTATAAAATTCAGGAATTTAAGGCTCTTGAAATAGCCAAAATATTGAAAATAATTGATAAAAGGATGAACACACTTATTATAAAAAGGAAGTTTAGAGCTTTTTTTCTTGTTGAAATATGAAGTATTAGGCCTATATTTATAGTGGAAGATGTTAATTAGCCGTTAGGAGGTGATTAGAGTTGAATTAATTCAAAAATCAGCAATCAGGAATAGTGTTCTAACGGTAACGGTACCCTGTCACGGTAGCTAGGTCCCGTACGGTAGCTAGGTACCTTCTCAGGCCAAAAACTCTCTGGCAGTACCTATACACGGTAGGGGGGTCCCGTGCTATGGTAGGGGGGTCCCGTCTCAGGCTAACTCACGGTACCCCTCACGGTACCTAGGTACCTTATGACCATTTTGACAATTTTTTCATTTTTGTCCAAATCATTTCCAATTTTGTTTAAAACCTTTTGGATGTTTGAAGATGATTATAAAAGGGTTTTAAATATATTTTGTGAGTGTTTTTGAGCTTGTGAATACAGGTATATAAAATCATATCCTTACATCGGTTTCTACCTAAATTCTACGCTAGTTTAGTGTTTCGACTTTATTCTTGAGAACCGAATCTTAATGGATTCTTGTTGTACCTGAAACACTTAAACAAACGTCAAGCTCTTATATTGTTTGTTAACATCAAAACATGAGGCTTAGCAAACCAAGGCTAACAATCTCCCCCTTTTTTATGTTGACAAACAATACACTTCAAAGTGAGTTAGGAGGGAATATAAAAATGAAGCAAGCAAGCTCCCCCTAAGAATAAGCATATTTAAAATACTCACTTTGAACTTTTTCTTGTGTTTATTAAAAGTTTAAGTTTGATGCAAATAGTTTCACAAGAATGCACTCAAGTCAAGTTGCATATGCACCACTTTGAAGTATACATTTTCTCCCCATTTTGTCAAAATCAAAAAGGGCATTTTGAAAATTTTTTAACCATGTAAAACTTCTTGAAGCCCTCCCCCTATCAACATGAATTAAATAAAAATGATAGTTTGGAGATCATTGGCAAAAGGTGCATTTACAAAAAAACTCTCTTTAAAGATAAAACCCCCCCTAAAATGATGCAAGTTTAAAAACTTTATTTTTGAGGGATTTTTAGGGATTATTTTCTAAAAAGCATAAATTAAAGATGAATTTAAAAATATTTAATCATTCAAACCAAGGCTAAAATAAATGAAAGTATTTATGGGATAAGGTTTTATTTTTGAAAATAATTAAAACCAAACAAAAAATCTTATCCCAATAAGTGAGAAGAACTTACCTTGGCTTATGCCGCTCTTTCTTCGGCTTTGAATATACTTCTTTCTCTTTTGATTTTCTTCATCTTGAGTCTTCAAAAAATTTCCATTGGAGAAAGCTCTTGTATTTCTTCCTCATTACTCTTTCTTCGTCTTCTTCATCACTTGACGAATTAGAGTCCTCGGATGTTTCATCCGTCTCACTTGACTCATCATTTGAGTCACTTGAGTCATCACTAGACTCCTCCTTGGATGCCTTGAACGCATTTGTTCGTTTTGGGTCTTCTCTCAGATGTTCTTCTTTCATCTTAATCATCAAAAGCTCGTGAGAATACAAAGAAGACCAAATGTGGGCGGTGCTTTCCGTTGCACATTTGGGTAAAAGATCTACAATACTACTATGCCATTCTTTTGGCAAAGAAAGTAAAATTTTAGTATTTAGTTCACTTGTAGAATATTCCTTACCCAACTTACCCAACTTGTTGATTATTTCATTGAACCTTCTATTGGCATCTTGGATTGACTCGTGTTGGCCAATTTTGAAAGATTCGTACTCCGAGTTTCCGAGGGCCAACATGGTTTGCTTCGTGGAGGTGTCGCCTTCATGCGTGGCTTGAAGCAAATCCCATACCTCCTTGGCCGTTTTGCACGATCACACACGTGCAAACTCATCAGGTCCAAGGGAGCAATGAAGGATGTTCATCGCCTTCGCGTTCATGGACAATTTTCTCTTGTCCTTCGAGGATAGCCCTGCAAAATCACCGTTTCTCGGCACAAATGGCCCGTGAAGTACATTCAACCATAAATCAAAATCAATCGATTGAATGAAATATTCCATCCGCATTTTCCAATAAGAATAGTTCTGACCATTGAAAAACGGAGGGCGGTGAATGCTTTGAGAATCCATTTGAGCCATAAATTTGAATTTTTTTAAAAAAAAATAGGGAAAATAAATATTTGAGATTTTTAAAATTCAAATTCAAAAAGGACACAACAAATGGATCTTTGTCGTAGGTGCGGTTAAGCACTTTTAACTACGAAACCGCTTTGATACCAATTGTTAGTCGGTTTAGTTGTTGTGCCCACGCCTTAGAGGGGGGGTGAATAAGGCGTTTAAAAATATTTTCAGAGTTTTATAAAAACGGTGTTGGCAAATGCGGAAGCAATAAGTAAAACGCAAACATAAAAGCGTAAAGTAAATGCAAACCGAATTTATACTGGTTCGAGAACTCCCTACTCCAGTACCTCGAGGCTCCTCCTCAAGGATTTCCGAATCCACTAAGTTCCGGCCTCTTGAACTCCGTCAAAGCACTGCACTAGTTTGGCAAACAACCCTTGCCAATAGGATTCACTCTGAGATTTTACCACGGCTATCTCGAACCGTTTACAATGAAGATTTAACGGCTATCTTCTACCGTTCCCCCAAGAATTTCAAAGGCTATCCTTGAACCTCTATCCAAGGATTTATACGGCTATCCTTAACCGTTACAACGTGAGAATTTAACGGCTATTCTCGACCGTAAGAAGGTGTGTTTGAAGAATACAAACAAAGGTTCTACACAACGGCTAGAATATAAAAATGAAGAACAAAACTTAGCCGGTGTAGAAGGAAAGTATACTCTCTCAAAAATACAATTCAAACTTATGAATATGAGAGCATATAACTACGATGCGACGCCGTACCCTTAATGGTTCAAGGTCTTCTTATTACGGTGGATCTATTTGTGCTTGCGATTCATGCGCCCGATATCGTTCTTGGAGTGCAATGGCTTCAAAGCTTGGGAAAAATTTATCACGATTATGCCGAATTGACAATGGAGTTTCAATATGGGGGTCGATTGGTCACCTTGCGGGGTGATTCTCCCGCCATTCGGGAAGTTTCTTATAACAGCTTGCATGCCCCTTTTGCGTCCGATTCTGTGTTTGAGGGTTACACGCTTTCCCTTGTACCTTCTTCGGATTCGTTCAATACCACCCAGGAGGTGGCCTTTCCAGTGGATTTACCACCATTGGTGCGGCCCGTGCTTGAACGCCATCAGGAAGTCTTTCGTCATTCGACAAGTGCTTCGCCGTCTTGGCCATGGGACCATCGTATCCATTTGCTGCCAAGGTCCAAACAAATAAATTTACGGCCATACCGTTACCCGTATTTTCAGAAAACGGAGATTGAAAAACAAGTTCAGGAGATGTTGAGTCAAGGGATCATACAACATAGTCGTAGCCCTTTTTCTTCACCGGTGTTACTTGTGAAGAACAAAGATGGGTCCTTCCGGTTCTGTATAGACTATTGGCCCTTAAATGCAGCTACAGTGACCGATAAATTTCCATTCCTACGGCTGATGAGCTTTTCGATGAATTGTGTCACGCTCGATTTTTTACTAAATTGGATCTCCGATCTGGTTATCATCATATTCGCATGGATGAACAGGATGTTTTTAAGACCGCGTTCCGGACGCATGATGGTCATTTTGAGTTTTTGGTGATGCCGTTTGGCCTCACCAATGCCCCATCCACTTTTCAGGCGGCGATGAATCACATATTCGCGTCATATCTACGACACTTCGTGATTGTGTTCTTTGATGACATATTGGTGTATAGCGTGACTTTGGACGAACATGCGGCTCATTTGGATACCATACTACGGACTTTGGCCCAACACCACTTTTTTGTCAAGTTGGCAAAGTTCTATTTTTGCCAACAATCAGTGGAATACCTTGGCCACTTGGTCTCCGCCGGAGAATTATGTGCAGATCCGGGCAAGCTTGAGCCCATTTCTATATGGCCACTTCCGAAAACGGTCCGCCAACTTCGGGGGGTTTTGGGGTTGACGGGATATTATCGTCGTTTTATCTGTGCCTATGCTATGCTTGCCGCACCGCTCACCACTCTGTTGAAGAAGAATTCTTTCCAATGGACCGAGGCCGCGACATTAGCATTTGAGCGTCTCAAATCTACTATGATGGTGCCGCCAGTGTTACGCCTTCCTGACTTCCGGGAAGTTTTTGTCTTGGAAACGGATGCATCAGATGAGGGTATTGGTGGTGTTCTTATGCAGCAGGGGCATCCGATTGCATTTTTTAGTAGGAAACTGGGACCTCGGCGTCAGATGGCCTCGGCCTATCATCGGGAGTTGTGTGCCATTGTTGAATCAGTCCAGAAATGGCGGTAATACCTTTTGGGTCGGGAGTTTGTTATTCGCACCGATGAATGAAGTCTTAAAAAATTACTATTTCAGATTGTTCAAACGCCTAACTAGCAATATTATATTCGGAAACTTATGGGTTTCAAGTTCCGTATCGAGTACAAGGCGGGTTCTTCTAATAAGGTTGCAGATGCCCTCTCTCGACGAGAGGACTTTGAGGGGACGGCTGCTCTTTCCCATCTCTATGCCCAGCCCCTGCCCGATGTCTTACGGGACATTCAAAAGGAGAATTGTGAACTCCCTGATCTTCGAGCAATGCACGAAGCGGCAGCATCCAGGTCGCTTCCATCTCCCTATTATATTCATGGTGGGATACTTTATTATAATAGCCGGCTTTATTTGGGAGCTACGTCCACCCTCAAGTCACGGATATTGACCGAATTTCATTCTTCTCCAAGTGCGGGGCACCCCGGGGTGGAGCGAACATTTCGGCATATTGCCACTGTTTTTCACTGGCCGCGAATGCGTAGGGATGTGAAACAGTTTGTCCAGGCCTGTCATGTGTGTCAATCCACAAAGTATGGTACCCAAAGGACGGGGGGGTTGTTGCAACCATTGCCTATTCCGCCGCGCGTTTGGGATGACATTTCTATGGATTTCATTGTGGGTTTACCTCCTTTGAAGGGCTGCACCGCAATCATGGTCGTAGTGGATCGTCTTAATAAGTACGCTCACTTTGGAGCTTTACCTACAGCGTTTGATGCACCAAGATTCGCCCACTTGTTTGTCGATACTGTTATCAAGCATCATGGTTTCCCAACTACTATTATTACCGATCGCGACCCCATTTTCCTTAGCACATTTTGGAAAGAGTTGTTCTCTTTAAGTGGCACAACGTTGAAATGGAGTACGGCCTACCACCCGCAGACGGATGGTCAAACAGAGGTCGTGAACCGGGGGTTGGAGCAATTTCTTCGTGCTTTTTGTCATGCACGCCTGACGCGTTGGATGATGTTCCTTCCCTGGGCGGAGTTGGCACGGAACACTACTTATCATGAAAGTATAAAGATGTCACCCTACAAGGCATTGTATGGCCAAGAGCCTCCATCCTTGGTTCCTTATACGGCAAGCACTAGTAAAGTGCAGCAAGTTGATGAGTTTTTGACGGAGCGTACGACTGTTCTGGCGGACGTTAAGCGTAATTTGGTCGACATGCAGCAGCGGATGACCTCCCAAGCAAACAGGCATCGGCGGGACGTGGAGTTCAAAGTTGGGGATGAGGTCCTCTTGAAATTGCAGCCGTATCGGCAGTTTTCAGTGGCCCGACCTCAATCTGCAAAATTGGCTCGTAGGTATTACGGGCCGTTCAGCGTCCTGGAACGCATCAGCAAGGTGGCATACAAGTTGCAACTGCCTCCCGGTTCTCGCATACATGATGTGTTTCATGTATCATTACTTCGACCGTTTGTGCAAGGTGATTCTTCGTGTCCAGTGGCAGCTCTTCCGAAGGATTTTCATGGCGGCGCACCAATTTTAGTTCCAACGTGGGCCATTTCTTCTCGTACGGTGCTAGTCGCTGGAGTCCCTATGGAACAATGGCTGATTGAGTGGTCGGATGGAAGTTCCGCGGACGCTACATGGGAGCCGACGGACCATATACGAGAGTCTTATCCTACGTTGGTCCTTGAGGACAAGGACGTTTTGGAAGCGGGGGTAAATGATACGGTTGCCATGACGGAGGAAGAGGTCCAACCAATACAGCCACGACGTTCGGGTCGTATGGTTAAGCCGCCCGTGCGATTCAAAGACTTTGTTTAATATTATTGTTGTATTTTTATTTATTATTTTGGTTTTCTTTTTGAGTGGTTTTATAACACTTCTTCGAGGGTTTCTTTACGGTTCTTTACCTCGTCGCTTTTTCTTGAACCGTCAGGATAGATAATGTACTTGGTTAGGTTTTGTTGTTATAAATTGAGGGCCTGCTCCTAAGGTTGGGTACGTAAGAATAATATCCAACTTCCTCTATCTTAATTCTACTCTCCCACCTTGGCTTTTCCTCTCCTTTTCCTACGGTTTTCTCTCTTTCCCTAACTGCCTGCGTTTCTCCTTCCCCCTGGTACGTGCATCAAACTCTCTAACAATTATTAGGAACATTCGGAAGGTATCGTAAAGAAGGTTCGGTGTTGTAATGTTGAAGTTAATGAGTTAATCGTCAGAATCATTATTCATCACATATACAAAATCTTGGACAGAAACTATCCCTTGACTTCAGGTCCGATATACGCTATCTTACATATATTACATGGTTTTAAAAGGCGTTCGAGGTGGACCGCCTCGAGGCGGTGAGGCGGTGAGGCGGGCCTTTTAATCCTCAGAGGCGTAAGCCTCGGTAAGGGTATCTTAGGCGTACGCCTTACCAGGCCGAGGCGGTATGAGGCGGTTGAGGTGGTGAGGCAAAACTGAGGCGGTAGCCTCGCTTCAAATTAAAATTTCAGCACCTATGGGTTAAATGATACTCCATACAAAGCAATTGGGCCTTTAAAAAATCTTGGACATTAAGTTTTTGTTAAAAACTTCTTACACTTGATAAATTAGGATTTCTTTTACTTGTACTTCTGCCTCTCCATCTTCAACCTAGCACAGTGCAGCTTCTCTTGCACACTACTTCAACCTCTCCATCTTCTTCAGCTTTAGCACACCCATCTACAACGCACCTTTTGTTCCTTTGGTCTCTCCATTTTCATAAGATAATTGCTTCATATTCTTGTTTACAGACAAAAACTGCCTCATATTCTAATTACTTCACCTTCAAATTTTTTCTAGTTTGTGTTCCAACTTTAATTTTCTGTCCCTTTTCCCAGCACTACTCTCCCTCTTCATCCATGCGATTCGTATGAAGGTCGCTTAACTAAAAATTTCATTGTATTATATACTGGAAATAAACTCGTCTAATTTTTGTTATGGAGTAAAAATCATGAAACTTTATCCATTTTATCATGTTTGAAGATAGATTTGAGGCGGTAGTTACTTCGTATTTTATGTTATTGTTCATATTTTTTTAGATTAATTCTCTATTCTTATTTTCTTTGTATTTTAAAAACAAAGAGTGGGTATTACTTTTTGCAAAAATCAGGAATTGAAGCCTTTGGATTTCAGCATCATGATTATGGATTATGTATTCTATTTTTACCATGGAGTATTCAATTTAGCTTTGTTTTTTCAAACTGAACTGAGGCTTACGCCTCGTTCTGCCTCGAGGCTTTCGCCTCGAGGCATTTTTCTCTAGTGCCTTGAGGCTCGTTTTCGCCTTTCAAAACCTTGATCTATTAAAACGAAATACTTTCTATACGAAAAATGTACCCTTACATCTTAGGAATCCATAGAATCAAACGGTTTGCAATTTAGTGAAGAAACGATGGAGATATGCCCAAAATACGGCAGGCTAGCCAATTGTGACGAGATTGACAAAGTTGGTGAATTTCGATGTTATTTCCGCTCCCACTCATCCGTAAGGTTTCGGCCAATGATTTCCAGGTCTGTACCTTTGCGTTAGACTTGTTGAATCATTCATCACATACGTACATGAACATATATGTTAATCCATATGTTGAAATCCTCCCAAAATATATATTTGATACACATAAGATTTATCTTTGTGTTAAGACCAAAATACACCAAATCCATAAAGTTATTATATATACACATAAGTATATATATATATATATATATATATATATATATATATATATATATATATATACATATATATATACATACATACACACACACACACCACACACACACACAGATATATATATATATATATATATATATATATATATATATATATATATATATATACATACACATACACATACACATATATAAACATTTGAAATCAACCCAACAATATGTATATATTAAACAAAGGTGTTTAAAAGACTTATAGAAGTAATTTGGACACTCAAAATATCAAGAGAAACATTCGCAGACTCAAACGGTCGACCGTCGCGTTAAATTTTGAGACGAACCAGGACTGTCAGCCAAACGGTCGACCGCCGGTGGCTGACGGTCGACTGCCGCCTGCCCAGCTGAGGATCGTCTTTCTCAGTCAGTCAACCGCGGTCGACCGTCATGGTGTTCCACCAGCCTGACGAGATGAAGATCGAGGTCGACCGTCTCGTCAAACGGTCGACCGTTCCGAGCCTCGTAGCTTAATTAAATGATATTTTATCAGATTTCACCCAAATAAAATAAAGTATATTTATCCATTCATATTGTTTACAAATTATTCATATCATATGATTCATTTCACCATCCATATTGAAGCATATCACATCATGTCCATGCCTAAGAGATCATGCGTAATTGCGTCTCTTATAGCGTGATGTGCGGGACTTACTAGTCCGACATCACCCATTCCGGGCTTAGTGTACGTACATGGTATTCAGGCTGCGAGTACCACCCCTACTTTCTAGTCTCCCTTGAGAGACTAAAGCCGTGTGAGTTCGTCGTACCAAATGGGCGAATCTCATAGCGCAAGGGTGTCCTTGCTCGTTAGAATAATGCATCATGTTATCATCATCAAGTACAATTACATTGATTACATAGGCTTCATGTAATCATCATCAAGAACAAGTATATTGATTACATATGTATCATGTATTCATCCTCACAAGCAAATTGATTAAATGTGCCATAATGTAATTATCATTAAATTTTTATCACCACGATTAATCAAATTGACCATATGATATAATGTGTCATATCATGAATATTGTTATACATTTTGTGAACATATATATATGTATATGTATATGTCTGTGAATTATTCTACAATTCTAGCGTGGTACCACTCAGCGGTTTCGCTGAGCGTGTAGTTTGTATTTTTCGTTGACTACACGTAGGTAACAAGAAGATAATGATGGAACCACTCCAGAGGGCATTGAGTAGGAGGAGATGCAAGGATGATAGGCAAATGTTTAATCATCAGATTTTAAAATGTGTCATGATTTGATTATTATTGTAATTCCGCATTACTCTGAAAATATTTTTAAATGGGTCGCGATCCAGAGTCTGTAAATTTAATATTTATAAGAAATTGTCATTTTCAAATGTCAAGCGAAATTTTTATTTAACTCTCGTTTCACCTTAATTCGTGTAATTCCGGGTTATAGGGATTGGGGTGTTACATTTTGGTATCAGAGCAAAACGATTTTTGGATCATTGAGTTAGTAATATTTTCAAAGTCCTGCATCTGCATCCTCCAGGACATCTCTGCCCTGGGAAGGTAATCAACAAGTAAGTTATTATGGTATAACACACATGCTTAACTCATTGAAATTTGTTTCCTTTGAGTTGCTAGTATCCTCATAGACTCGGTTACAGTAATGTTTAGATAGCCTCGAAATGTTCTTCGACGATCACAGTCGACATCAGAAGATCAAGAAAGGGACTGTAAACCTGATAAGCGCGACATATACGTATGTCATAGTACGCGAATGGCTAAGCGAACGATGTGAAACAACTTCTATCAAGCCAAAGAATACGTTGAAGAAAGAACTTTCTCTGATAGGAAGTGAACAAATTCTCCAAAAGTGAATTTGTCGTTTTCTAAGAACATGAATATAACCTCACAAACCAGATCGAATACGACACGTGTATTGAATCTGAAATGCATTATAGGGGCAAATCTACACACAAACATTAAGATAATTGACTTGTTCGTATACCCTATTGACGCGAAATCTTGCAACAAGATGACCGTACAAAGCAATTTAATATTTATAAGAAATTGTCATTTTCAAATGTCAAGCGAAATTTTTATTTAACTCTCGTTTCACCTTAATTTGTGTAATTCCGGGTTATAAGGATTGGGGTGTTACAAGTCCACCCTACATCGCTGTCCAACCTAAGCCAAAAGGAAATGCATTGGCAGAAAGATTTTGGACAGCGCTGTTGACCCAGCAACAGCGATATCAGGCCATTTCTTTCACTTTCAAAGTCAGGTCTAAACAGCGATGTTCAAGTCATGAACATCGATGTAGGCACCTGACCGTTGGAAGGAATTTATGGCTAAAACTTTCCTTGTTTGGAAGTCAACAGCCAAAACAGCGATGTAGGGGTTTTGGACATTGCTGTTGGCATGATCGTTGCTTCCTATTTTTAAAAACCAAACCTAGAATAGTGATGTCCAAGCCTAGGACAGCGTGGTATAGAGGATTCTCAGCAGATCCCATTTTAATCAAATCCTACAATTTGTGCCAATCACCCATTAAATGTTTTGATCCGTTAGAGCCTATTTTTCCACTATAAAATGGGGTGTTTGGGTCTGCTTTACACATCACATTACTTCACAACGCCTATTCTTTAATTGCATATTATTCATACATTATTCATAGCTTTTCGAGAGCCATTTTTGTGAAGTTTGTGTTGTGTTCTTGAGCGTTCTTAGTTACTCATTATCCACTCTAAAAAGATAGTTTTGTTCTTGAGTGATTTAGTGTTCTTAGACACTTGATAAGAGAAGGTTTTTCTTTTGTTGTTCGAAGGAAGGGTTGTTTCCTTCGAAGGTTCGTTGAGGTTCGTGTGACTCGAACTCTCAAGTTGTACGGGTTTGTTAAGCACCGTTAAGCTTAACGCTGTTAGTGTAGCTCGAGAGAGTCTCTCGGGAGGCTGGACTAGCCACAAGTTGTGGTGAACCATGGTAAAAACGGTGCACATCTTCCTTGCTCTTACTTTACGCCTTTTAATTTTTATTACTGCGTCGTTTTTTGTTTCAAACACTATTTACCCCCCTCTAGCGTTGGAACGTTTTTCTAACAACTTTTTACACGGTCAAACTTTTATCACTTTCTTTACCTGTTTTCATTAGGTGTTTGATAAAATAATATAATCTTGTCACCACTTGTTTTGTAGAACTTTTGATGTAGTTTTCAAATATATAAATATTATTTTTTAATATTACACCTACAATAAAATAAATTAAATTGAAAATAAAGTCAGTGAAACTTTGTAAAATGAACTGGGAAGAACATTATAGGACGGAGGGAGTATGTAATTTTTATTTTTAAATTTTACACCATTATTCATATAAAATGATTTGAAAATAACTTCGATCAAACATTGTAACGCGAATGAGAAATTTATTTGTGTCCAGAGTATAATAAACGCCTTCCAGTGTCTATTCACTCCCGTCACCCAATCTTTATCAATACAAAAGGAAGGGTGTAGGGTGGGGGTAGAGACACATAACATTATCCAGTTGATGAACTTCTCTGAGAACTTTAGTCCATACAATATGCCCCAAATAGCTTTCCAATTGATAGAGTCATATGCCTTTTGGATGTCCAATTTCACCATACATCTTGGGGATACACCCTTCCTTTTGTATCCTTTGGCTAATTCTTGGCAGAATAATACATTGTGGACTAATTCTCTCCCTTTGACAAAAGCAGCTTGATTCAAGTCAACAATATGTGATAGAACCTCCTTAAGTCTCAAGCATATCAGCTTTGATATCACTTTGTAAAATGTGTTACAACAAGAAATTGGCCTGAAATCAGATGTAACTGTTGGATTGGGCACTTTGGGAATGAGAGTGATGTAGGTTGCATTAATCTGTTTTTTGGTTATGTCCTCTTTAAAGAAATCCAATACTGCTCTGGTTGTTATTCTCCCCACTTTCTCCCATTGCTTCTTGAGAAAAACCACTGTTAAACCCATTTGGGCCTGGGCTTTTTGAGCTAGGAATTGAAAACAGAACTTTTTTAACCAGTTCAGGTTTGAATTCTTTTATTAGTTCCAGCTGTTGTTCTGCTGTTAAGCTTTTGCCCTTCACCAAAACTTTTCTGTCAATCTCCTTTATTGGGTGTGTGGAGCCCAACATTTTACTGAAGAGCTCCTCTAATACCCTTGCTATACCATCCGTACCTTCCACCACTGTTCCATTATAATGCAGCTTCATAATGTAGTTGTTCATTTGCCTTTTCCTTGCCCAAGCATGAAATAACTTTTAATCACTATCCCCTTCTGTTATCCACCACTCCTGTTTGATTTGCTCACACTTCAATTGATAAGATGCCTTGATGGCTCTGTTCATCGGATGCATTAGCTCCCTTTCTCTATTAAATAGGAACTGGCTGGGATTGGCTTTAACATCTCTTTGAATTCTCATCAGCTCGTCTCTCTTCTCATCCACCTGCTTATGTATCATATTAAATTTATCCTTGTGAAGTTTCCTAAGAAGCTCTTTAAGCCTTCTTAGGTTCTGAACCACTTGGTACATACTATTTTGGTTTGGTTCTTCTTTCCAGACCCTCTGCATAATTTGAAACTATTATCATAGTATTTTTAAGACAAACAAATAGTGTCCTTGTGCATGAGTGCACTTAAAAGAATAACTTGAAACATCCTACAACTATTTATCTGAAAAATAAGAATAATGACCAACAAAAATTAACTCAACATATCTTTTATTTAAATTACTGGTAATTGTATATGGGTAAAGTACACAAACCTTTTCAGAAGTTAGCTTAAACTCCCCGACATAATCAAATCGCCCTTTCTTGACATCCCCATCAACATTTAGATCAAAAGTCAGCTTCTCATCACCAAATTCAAGCTTCATCTTCATGGCAAGAATAATGGCATGACTGTTTCATTGTAAAAGAATACTGTTGGCCAATCAACTCAGGTGGGTGATATTTTGGCTGCTTGTCATTGTAATACACCCATCCTGTGCACATATGGTCACAATTTTATTCAGACAAACATTGTCTTTACTACTATGAAATGACAAATAAACAGAGATTGTTGAGAATAAGAGGTAATGAAAATTATTGCATTTAATAAATGCAATGAATATGCTTCAAATTTGAACTTAAGATTTGTCACAGATCGATCACAGGATAGCCTTGAACAATAGAGGTTAAGCAGGGACACACTAGATCTCAATTTAATAATTGCTCCTATAGATTCTACTTTGTATGAATATTCATCATATTGATCGCACTCAACAGGTAAGCATGGCTGAGAAGCATGATTTAAAGATTACTTCCTCATTATCTCTCCACTTTCAAGATATTTTCTTACTTTAACAAGGGTAGACACATCCTCACTGAAAATAAAGAAAAAATAAATACAGTGAGGATTAATAAAAGTACATGTCTATCCATATCATCGGGCTATTGTCTTGTGAAGCTGAATTTTGGCAAGGTAATAAAACCAAAAAAGAAAAAAGAACAAATTGATTGGACTCTTCATTCATACAAGGAGTATGATGGTTGTTTGTAATGTTTAAAAAAGCAAATGAAAAACTGAAATCCCTTTAAAGTTTCTTATTTCACATGGTCATGAAGCTAAATCCCATCACAATAAATGATATTTTAAAAGCTTCTTTGTTTATACGCTTGATTTTGATCTATAGATTTAAGCACATTCCATCACACACTCTTTTGTTTCAATGAGTGTTCTAGATTTTTTTTCATAAAATGTAGCTTGATTCTATTTCATTACTTTTTTTTATAAATCACACAAGGCTTGTGATGCATTTGCACTGTTGAGAGATCAAATATGGAAAAGAGATTATGAGTTTTATGATCTATTTAGTATTCATGAGAACTTCAAATGAAGATGTAGTGCAAACTACATCTTCATTGGCCTCCCTTACAGAATGGAGATTTAGACTGATTTAACTTATTTCTTTATCATAGCTGGTGTTCCCGTCAATGAGCGCCAAGAAGAATGAAAGGTTTAGATCCTCATTCGCTTTTCTCTGGCCACTGGCCTTATCCATGCCACCAATTTTTAAAGTTCTCCCAAATGATAGCAATCTAGGCATCTCTTTCTTTGTTAACTCGATTACTCCCTAAGATGACTAACTAAACATCCAGTTGATGTTTTATTTACTCTTATTCTATGATTACATGTATATTCCCATTTTGCATTATTAGTTGTTTGTTGTTTTTTATTCTTGCTGTTTAGACCTTAAAGTACAAGTAAAGAAGACTACATATTAGAATATATTTAGAATTATGAGGTTAATATGAAACAAAATTTATTTTTTTTGTAAGTTTATTTCAACTTTGTTGATTTATTGTTTAAAAGTTGGCAATGGTTTGATGTCTCATCACTGCTTTATGTGATGTGTGTAAGTCATGTTTATGAATTGATCTTCATTTAAATTTTCTTTAAATGATTCAGGTTAAGTTCCCTAATGGTTTGCCCCCACCTCCATCTCGAAGTGAGTATGCTATTTTATATATATCCTCCCATATCTCATGTGCAGTATCATAATACAAAATGCTACTTGCAATTTCAGGCTCAACTGAGTGCAAAATCCAAGAAATTACCAGATTATTGCATCGCTTCTACTGATTGAGCAAAGGAGAATTTGATTCTGGTGCCTTCGAGCTCCCATCCACAAATCCAAGCTTGTTTCTCGCACTCAGAGCAATCTCAGCCGATCGTTTCCATTGTGCATAGTTGTCGCCATTCAACTTCTGAGATGCAAGAGAGAAATTAGGCGTCTTCGTTGGATGTAGATACAGCTCGCTCTGTGGACCGATTGAAGAATGAGTCACTGTTTTCGCCATGCCTTCGAATCAGATTTTGATTTGGACTGAGAAATGGAATCGAGTTTTGACAAATTCAGATTGAATCGGAAATGATAACGCCATTAAAGCATGGCTCTGATACCATGTTAAAGCAGCCAAAGATTCTCCAAATTGAACCGACTATCCACGTACACGGCTCCGGCTATGGACTCTACAATGTCGGTACGAACTTTGAGAGCTTTGATAGCTCCGCCATAAAACTAGGTCTCGTCCTCTTCTTGGACCGTCATCACAAACTCCGTGACCTTTTCATCAATGGCAAAAGAACTGTGTCGGAAATGCCTAAAGAGGTCATTATCAACTGCTACTCGAGCGAGCTTCTCGGTGCTGATGTTGACGAAGCGCAGAAGGGAGAGTTGGCCGGGGTTAAGGCGTGGATAGGTTAAGAAGATGAAATTCGAGACGACCATTCCTAGAGCCATGTCGCCCATGAAATTCTTAACATTTCCAACACAGTTCTTCTGCCATTGATGAAAAAGTCACGGAGTTTGTGATGACGGTCCGAGAAGAGGACGAGGCCTAGTTTTATGGCAGAGCTATCAAAGCTCCCAAAGTTCTTGCCGACATTGTAGAATCCATAGCCGGAGCCGTGTACGTGGATAGTCTGTTCAATTTTGAGAATCTTTGGCTGCTTTAACACTACATATTAGAATATATTTAGAATTTTGAGGTTAATATAAAACAAAATTAAATTTTTTCGTAAGTTTATTTCAACTTTGTTGATTTATTGTTTAAAAGTTGTCAATGGTTTGAGGTCTCATCACTGCTTTATGTGATGTGTGTAAGTAAGTCATGTTTATGAATTGATCTTCATCTAAATTTTCTTTAAATGATTCAGGTTAAGTTCCCTAATGGTTTGCCCCCACCTCCATCTCGAAGTGAGTATGCTATTTTATATATTCCCTTTTAATCGTGCTTTCTTGGGTGATTTTTGAAGTATATATATTTTTCAAAAAAAAACATTTGTCTAAATGCGTTATCTATTAATCTTATGTGCACTGCTTTGGTTGCTATAGAAAAAAGAGAAACTTATGAAGCTGGAACCACAACTAAAAAGGCTACTCCCAGGCTTATAATGCCAAATTAGAAGGCAACTCTAGAATCTCAGGTGGCTTCTTTGACTATTTTTTAAACCATTTGTCTCTCATGTTTTGAGAATTATGACTAAGTGAGGCATTTATGTCATAATGTAAAATTCGATTGAGGCAATCGGGAAAATTCTTGGTCAATATGCAAATAAAAAAAGAAAGAAGACAAAGGGAAGAAGTGCCAAGAAGAATAAAAGGTGAATAAGCTTTTTTAATTTTTCAATTTTTTGTGTTTTTACCTTCTCCAAATAGATGGCACCAACGACATTAGTGCAAAGATTGACTTGCCTTGGACAAAATTGGGGCTTTCATCAAACGATGTTGATCGAGGTGGTTGGGCTAGCAGCACCCACGATGGTGGCAGCATGGAGGTAAACCCTAGACCTATGGAACTTTTTTCATTTTATTCCATTTTTTTCAATTTCATGCTATCCTATTTTTCTTAAATTTTGTAGTTGTTTTAATTAGTAACTTTTTTGTTCAATAGAAATGTTGATGAAACATTGTATTCCTTCAATCTGTTATTCGATATCATCTCAAAAAGATCTTTCAACTTTACTTGTGGTGATTTTTAGTTATTATAATTATATTTTTTAAAATGGAAAGTGTAAAATTTTAGCATGCTTTGCATTAATTTGCAGGTTATGAAAAATGTACAAATGGATATGTTACAATTTAAGAGCATGTGATATATACTTTTTTTGGTCCCAAGAAGCATTGTTCATATAACATAAGATGTAAATGTTATTTTTTCAAATAGTTCAATGCATAGTTATGGTTTGATCTTCTATGGGCATACAACAGCTTTGTATGATCGGTACATGGGAGATGAAAGCGCCGGTGTTGTAGAACTTTTTCTCATTTACTTATATGTTTACCTCTGGAGCTTGCTTGCAATTGGCTTTATGGGAATATCATAACTCTTGGAGCTAGCTTGGAAATGGTGAAATGACGTTTTTGGTTCTTGAGTTATGGAAAGCATAAGGGTGATGTACAATGGTTTCTTAGACAATTGTAATTTGTTATTGTACTTTGGAGTCAACTTAGGTTACTAACTTCAACGTTTTCACTCGATAAATGAAGTGAGAGAAATCCAAGGTTATTACAATTGGCCTCTTAAATAGTTGTTTCTTGAAGAGAAACAACTATTTAAAGTGAGAAGAGTCCAGTTATTGCAGACACTATTGCCGGTAGCTAGCTTTGGATGGCCCTTTGACTTAATTTTATAATTATAATTAAGGGTATTAGGTTTCCATGTCCTCTTTTTGGGATTTTCCCCTCCCCACACTCCCCAATTTTTTCACTTGGCTTTCGATTCTATTGTCTCAATTTGTAAATATATTTATTACTTATAGTAACAACTTAAAAAAAAATTACGTATACTTTTGTTATGAAGTGTTTATTCTTTATATTTTGAAGCAAATTAATTGTCATGGATGACATGGGTCAATCTCCATTACGTGTTAGGTTACTATTAAATCTCTCTTTAATTGTTTTCAATTTTAAAAGGTTGTCTCGCGTGTAAAAATTTTTGCAAGAATTGAAGATCTTGAGTTACGATGATCAAAATAATCCCCCGAATCAGAATTCAAATGTGGTGTATAATAAAGTTTTTCAAAATTTCTAACTATTGTCCAATTCATTTAAAAATAATTTGATCCAATTATTCGTGACTTATTTTTTGAACTAATTATAATCATATAAAACATGATTTAATTATATACTCTCTCTCCGTCTTTGAGTATTTACCCATTTTTGATTTTTTCAGACAAAATTGTAAACTTTAACCTCAAATTAAATAAAAATGCTATTAGATATTATACAAAAAAAGTTTTATTATATTTATTATATCAAATATTTTCAAAATATTATTTTAGTTAATTAAAATACATTTTTTATTTAATTATAGGTCAGTTAGCCTTGGTTTGCTAAGCCTCATGTTTCTCAAAAATGAAGTTGAAACACTAAACTAACGTAGAATTTAGATAAAAACCGATTTAAGGATATGATTTTATATAGCTATATTGATAAGCTCAAAAACTCTCACAAAATATGTTTAAAACCCTTTTATAATCATTTTCAAACATCCAAAAGGTTTTAAACAAAATTGGAAATGATTTGGACAAAAATAAAAAAATTGTCAAAATGGTCATTAGGTACCTAAAACTGTGAGGGGTACCGTGAGTTAATATGAGAATGTACCCCCTACCGTTAGCACGGGACCCCCCTACCGTAAGGGGTACCGTAAGAGGATAGGTACCGCCAGAGAGTTTTGGCCTGAGAAGGTACCTAGCTACCATACAGGACCTAGCTACCGTGACAGGGTACTGTAACCGTTGGAACATTATTCCTGATTGCTGATTTTTGAATTAATTCAACTCTAATCACCTCCTAATGGCTAATTAACATATTCCACTATAAATATAGGCCTAATACTTCATATTTCAACAAGAAACAAAGCTCTAAACATCCTCCCTTTATATTCTAAATGTGTTCATTCTTTTATTAATTATTTTCAACATTTTAGCTATTTCAAGAGCCTTAATTTCCTGATTTTTATACACACACTTTGAGCTTGTGTTTTTAGTTATATACTCTCATATTCCTAAGTTTGAATTGTATTTTTGAGAGAGTATAATTTCTTCTACACCGGCTAAGTTTTGTTCTTCATTTTTATATTCAAGCCGTTGTGTAGAATCCTCTTTCGTGTTCTTCAAACACTTATTCTTATGGTCGAGAATAGCCGTTAAATTCTCACATTGTAATGGTCAAGGATAGCCGTATATATCCTTGGGTAAAGGTTCAAGGATAGCCTTTGAAATCCTTGGGGAGCGGTAGAAGATAGCCGTTAAATCTTCATTGTAAACGATTCGAGATAACCGTGTTGAAATCTCAGAGTGAAATCTCAGAGTGAAATCTCAGACTTGACAATCGACTATCACCCTGTGTCTCTGAAAAATTTGTCTTCATCCTGTTGGAAACTCTAGCAACGGTTTTATCCTATTTTGGGCTATAAAATGGCACCCAAATCCTCTCTTTTAACACACAATTCTTCAACATTTCAATACTTATTCATTGCATAAGCTTTCCTATTTTTCTTAGCTATTTGAGAGCCAATTCTTGAAGAAATTGTCGTGTTTTTGAGCGTTTACTAGTTCACTCATATCTACTTTTGTGAGAGTTTTATTCCTAAGTGTTTAAGTGTTTTCGTTCAACCCGTGCGTTGCACGGGTTAAATACTAGTGACTATATACAATGGACTAAATTAGATAAAAATAAAGTGAATGGGAAGGCAGCAACAATTCACATGAAAATATCACTGTAATTCTCTAGTTGATGCAAGCAGCTCAGCAAGTAAAATAGCCTTCTATGTTTCAATTCTTCAAAAAGCTTATCTTGTTGAAATTATATACAAGAGTAGAATCTTTAGAAATCACCATAAATAGGACTAAAATATAGAGAAAATACCAAAATAGGAATTTCATATTTTTCCTCCAAAATAGGACTTTGCACTGTGGTAATGACTTTGCCATGTGGTAATGTGGTAGTGTGCATGTGCAAATTACTATACTTTTTTGGTAATGTATATAACCATGCATGGTAATGTAAGTCCTATTTCGGGAATAAAAACATGAAAATCCTATTTTGGTATATTTTCAATGTTTTAGTCATATTTTGGTCTTTCTTCCTAGAATTTTCCATACAAAAATAAATTATTCGATTATAAATATTTTTAAAGAAAACTGAAAGTCAAAGATTGTTACTCAGTACTCAATTCATAGCTTAAATCTATACATATGACACCATAGAAACTTTCTAATGATAATTCATGGTGGAAATCAAACAAACAATAAGAACAAGCCAGGATTGGAACATGAAAAAAACACTTTGGAACACAATTATTAACTAGTCTCTTAATAATTACTTTTAATTGAGATAATAGAATGATGTGCATCTCTATTGTAATGAAAAAATGGAAGAAAAAAAACCTGGGATGAGATCCGACCTAGGGACGGCAGAGGAAGGTCGGCAGCCGGCGGCTTATGATTCTGATTCTGGCAAAGAGAATCCTGGAGATGGAGAGGATGTTGGAGGGAGACGGCGATGTAGAAAATAGGAGATGTTGTAGACGGTGCTAGGGGATGCAGTTAACGGATGTGAGAAACGGTGGATCCAAGGAAATAAAAATTCAATTATAAATTTGGGGCTGGATTGTAATAAACAAAAATACATGACATGGAATATGCTTAGCTCTCATTGGTCCATGTGTGGAGGGAACCAAAACCATCACTTTAAGAACGGCACTGAAGGAAACACCAAAAAAGACTAAGAAAAAAAAAAGTTGTTCAAACTCTTTTTTCACACATACTAAAACCGAAGTACCGAAAGTTTTTGCGTGACCGAATTGGTTCATTTGTCTTTCAACTAAGACTAATAAAAGAAGTTTTTATTTATTTATCTCCTTACTTTTGTTACATGGATTCGTGACACACAACTGAACAATGAAAAATTATAGGACCGGTATTGATTTTAAAATATAAAGAAAGAATGTGAGGCACAAACACTATGAATCAATTTAATCAAAATGGGGAGGGAAAGAGTATAAAAGCTCAAACAACATAAAACCAACATAATATGCAAACTGTTTCAATTAATATGCAAGCAGTGCATGTTGTTTCAATGTTTTCTTCTCTGCTTAGAAAAGGTTTAGCACAACAGTAATATGCAAAATGTTTT